CCAATAAACAAAGTTAAAGTTCCTAGAATGAGAGACCAGAATACTAATTTCTGCATTTTCTTTGGCTGCTGCACTGGAGTCCCTGGAAAAATAAGTACAAATTGTACATCTGTTGAATTCGCATTACAGCGGTGTGACTGGGCAATGCACTCCAGAAAAAAGCAAGGGAAACCTTAAATGAATTTGCAGGGAAGCATTTTTACAGCTGCTGCAGTTCTTAAAATCAGCTAGAGGAAGATTCTGTGTTCTTCAAAAATGGGAAGAAGAATGTTGAAAAAATACATTATTTTTAAAAAAAGGTAATGGTGAGTTCCTGAATGACCTCAGGAACTATATACTTTTTCAGCTGAAGAGATGGAGAACTACTTTTCATGTTGCAGATTTATAAAAGCTGTCACTCATGTGAGCACAAGGACAAACTGATAATGTTAGCTAGCCATTAGTTGCATAGGTACATAGCAATGCCAGATGGGAGGAGTTTTATGCCATCCTCAGACACTTAGCAGTTGCTGAGCTGCTGTCTACAGTGTATTTAGTGCATGTCTGAAGGGCAAAAAATGTCTCCTCCACCCACTAAATATGTCCTTGTTCACTGTACACAAGAGAACTGCTTCCTTTGTTAGCAAATGTCTCTTCTGACTGCCTTTTCTTTTTCAAAAGAAAAAAAAAAAGTGAATTCTTTCTCTGAGTAACAAGAATCAAACCAAAGGAGATAAATATGCTCACCTGAACGAATGACTGTTTCAAGTCAGTGACATTACCGTACAGAACAAGGCGAACATGCACGAGGACAGGCTGCATGAGCACAGGCTGCAAAGCCAGACTGTATGCTATCTGTATTTCACCTATTAGTCAGGGTGTCTAGCTAGTGAAGAACTAATTCTAATTTGTCAAAAATTTCATGTTCTTATTCAGTCCAAGATCCAGTGAAGGACTAAGGCAGGCTTTAGCTTCGCACAAGAACCTTAAATTGAAAGTTAGTTATCAAAGCTATGAAAGTTATGTTCCAGATGCAACACAACAAAATTTGCTTCTGCCAGCACTGGGGGAAATGCCTGAACTCACAACGGTAGATTAAATTTCCCCATCTCAAGAGGCTTTACGTTCCTCCCGCTGCCCTGCACACAGCAATTGGCTGCTTAGCTCTGCCCAGGTTCAGGTGAGATGTGGAGCTCCACCAGGAGCCTCCTTTGCCAGTAAGGAGTAGCTTCAGTAGGACAAGCGAGGACATCTCTGCTGGAGCCAAGCCAAGCCCACAGGGGCTGAGACCAGCACCAAGCCCGGGGGAGTGCCCTAATCCGGCTATCTGAAATGCTGTGCCACTGTCACTGCTGCTTCGCAAGGAAGCTGTCAGCTCTTCCAGCTCAGGGGTTCAAACTTGATTATCCCAAAACTGCACTTTGGTACTTCCCTGCCGCTCCTGGGAATGACTGCTAAAATTCACAAGTAGACCTAGCATGGATGGTATCATGTTGTGGAAATGTCCTCCAGTAAGTCATGGGGTTTAGTTCATATGAATTCTGAATAATCACTCAGTATCTTCTTTCAAAAGCAGTATTTATTTTTTTATCAAGACACATTACATACTGCATAAAGTAAAAAATACTGCTAGAAAAGCTGCATTTAACTGAGATAACAAAAAAAATATATATAGATTGCACTTGAGAAAGTAGGCTCTATCCCAGAAGAATACAGTAAATAAAAAGCTGTGAGTGGTTTGAAATTAGGAATCTTTGAGTTTCCTTTGAAAATTTATTTATTTTGGGGGGTTCCAATTCCACCAATAAAAATGAACTAGATGATTAGTTTTTTTAATAGCATTGCTTTTTAAATTACAACAATATGTAAATAACATACCAATTATTACATAGACAAAAGAGAAAATAAAGGTGTGGAAAAACATCTCTGCAATTTCTGCTAATAAATAAAAAGGAAAAGTTTTGCTTGTATTTGGTTTCACCAGGGTCAATGCAGCTTGGGGCTTCGGATTTTGGGAGTTTTGCTTAGTTGACATGTATGTTATCATTCCCACACTGCAACACAAAGCTCACCCTTAACTCTCCTGCACTGGCCTGGAGCATACTGTCTTTATGGCAGATGGCAGCATGAAGCAGTGAATGGTTCCATTGATTACAAAGTGTCCCAGGAGAAATACTTTAAATTTTGTGACCAGTATAGCCTCTATTTAAGAAAGTAACCCCAACATTAAGCAAGATGATAATCCCTATTATACCAATCTCTTTTTACTTTACAGCTGAATTTTTCTGCTGGACCCTGGCATCCACTGCTGCCTCTATCTAATTCAGTTAGCTAAACTATTAGCTGTTCAGTCTTTAAAATGAGTATTCATACCATCTACCTTTGTGTATCTCGTTTAGATGCTAAAATCAGATTTCTAATCTCCCTACATAGTCAAAATAGAGAGAGAAAAGCTCCCATGTTGGATTATTTCAACCTGGGGTCTAAGGCACACTTTGGGAGACCCTCTCTCCCCATTGCCTGTAGGGGTAACTCAGGCTCACCAGATGAGGCTGGATCCCCAGCATTAGGAGGTGTAGAAACCAGCCCCCGAGACACGGCTGTTCAGGTTGGAGACTGGGCAAACATGCAGAGGTGCACGGGAGATGCCAGGCACAGCGGATGCCTGGTGCACATTTTCCCCTGGGGAATGGGAATTAAAGGACCACTCAAAGCACAAAGCCATATGAAACTGATGTTTCCTACAACCAATGCTAACCACAAGGCGAGAGTGCTTAGGCACAATTTGGGCATAATTCAGTCAGGAATATACATTAGAGTGCACTGTCTCAAAAAAAATCAGTACTGCCAAAGTCTCGCATGCAAATTTCTTCCAAAATTAGCTAAAAATTATGGAAGGGCTGGGTCAATCTTGTTATTAAGCCAGAGACAGAAAAAGAATGACGTTTTCTTTAAATAGTCCTAAAATACGAAATGAAGCTGGCAATTTTTGGTTACAGTGCTGTTCTTTTAACGTGAATTGCTTTGAAAAATGATGAATCACTTCCCAAGTCAGCATTCAGGAGCATTTTTAAATAGACATCTGGGAGCCAGAGAGGAAAAATTAATATAAATAATAAAAACCCCACACATTTTGAATCTCAAAGGTTGAAGTCCAGGAAAGAAAGTAACACAACATTTCTAAGGGCTGTTTCAGTAAGTTTTGCTAAAATTATGAAAGAGCATTTATAAAATACTTGAGCTGATAAAGAGGGTAAGTCAGAACATTAGGGCACTTCTATAACAAAATTGTAGATTGCTAAAACATACTGGCTTAAAGGCTCTCAATATTATATTATAGCACATGCCAGTTTCCACTAATTATAATGCGCTATTGTCAAACTACTTTGCTCTTTCAGAGAGACAGAAACGCAAGAGGCAACACAAACAAGATGAACCAATGCAACCTATGTCTGCTATTAAGTATAAAACATCAGCCATTAAATGTGCTGCCCCATTCCCTCTGTTACATTCATGATCAAAACTACAATTCTTTGCCAGACTTAAATCTTCCTGTATTTTACACTTTTGGAGCAGCATTTTAAAACCTTTAAAGCTAGTTTGGAAGGATTTTTTTTTTTTCCCTTTTCAGCTAGAGCACTTCATAATATTTTAAAAGGCATAGGAAGCTATGCTGTAGCTTTTAAAGTGCTTATTTTATTATGAGGTGGTGTTTAATAATATTCTTCTGGAAGTTAATAAGTGATGCACATTTTCCATGACAGACAGACATTGCTTAATGAGTTAATACGCCTCAGCAAAATGCAATCAAAAAGAAATTCACTGTCAACAGTTTAACCATGGCAATACACAGAACTGAAATGAGACAACTAACCTCAGATAACTAAGATTAATGCATATATGACAAAGTTATAATAATCCATATTTAAAACAAACAAACAAACAAACCCCAAACCAAATAACGATAATTAAATCTCAAGCACAGTTTTGTTTCCCAGTAACACAACTGCAAAACAAATCAATATTTTCAACAAACAAGTGCCCTATCTTCATTGCCTGCTTGGGGAAACACAGCACTCCTGAAACTGCAGCGAGGAGGATGCAGGGGGAGGGCTGTCTCTCCCTTTTCATGTCGAGGGGGCTCCTCCTGGGCAACTGTGGGCGGCTCTGGGCAAGGGGCAGGAGTCCAGTCCAGGTAGGTAGAGACCAGAACCAGTCCCAGCCCACAGGGATTTTCCTGGGGACCTGGCAGGAGCCCCCTCTTGCAGAAGCGCCTGGACGATGGCTCCCGTGGAGTCACCGTGGCAAAAGTACCAGCGTCCGCACACCTCTACTGCCACCAGTGTCCCAGCTTATGCAAAGCATCTACTAATTTCAGCACAATTTGCTCGAGCACAAACAGTGAGATTTGACTTTACTGGTGTGTTATTTCATGTAGTGATGGATTTTCCTCATTACATCTCACTCTGTTGGGTGGGAACACTGGGAAGTTCCCTCTCAGAGTGGGACAAACCATTTTACACTCATACAGGCTCAAATTCTCTCTTCACTTATACCCACAAAACACTACTGACTGTCAGGAGAGCTGAGCAGGTAGAAATGGCAGCAGAATTTGAGTGTAGGAACTAGTGAGCGAGAAACAGAAACACAACGCTATTTGATTGCCAGCTACCACAAATACCTACACAACTGGTGTTTCATTTCAGTGGGTATTGTATGCCTAAGGACTATAAGTGACCTTTGAAAATCTCAACCCTCAGAATCTAGCTACAGATAACCATAATCCTATATTCTTGGATGCTGATACATAAATCTATGATATACCTTTTTAGCTGCCATGGCACTAATCAGCACAGCTATGCTGAAACACAGCGATCGTTTTTGCTAATTGCAAAGGCAGGCTAGTAGCAAAGTTCAAATGATTAGTGAGTAAAGGTCCTCAGAGCAATCCTGCTTAAAAGTAAACGTCCGGTAAGCTGCAATTAGTGTGTCTTGGTGTTCTCTTTTATTTTTTTTTTTTTTTATCGGGGTGGTCTTGAACTGCAGATACAATCACAACGCTCATGGTGATCCAGCTGTATATCTACTAAGGCCATGTTGTTCCTGGTTCTGCCTTTTCTTCTGGGATGCCCAGCCTCAGGGATGAATTTCAGCACCTGGGAGGATCAACAGAAATGCATTGATTAGAAAATGCTATTAGAGATTTGAGGGTGAGAGCGTTGGGGCCCTGAGGGCACCAACAACCCTTAATGGCCCTGACCAGCACTAATTTGGACACATTTTTGTTTTACTTCCAGCTTTTTCTTTCCACTCTGTGACATCCTGCTGTACTGTTTGTCCTGGAGCTTTGACAGATTGGATTATTTCCTACACCAGGTATCTTTATATTGCGCAGCTCCCTAACCACATCCAGGGTTGCTCCTTTGCATGTGAATTATCAAGCATGTTTCCTTTGGCTTGTCTTTCTAGTCCCATACATATTTGAATTGCTCTGCCCCTTCTCTCACTTGTATAATATTTCTGCTCTAAAGAACAAGGAACATTCTTTATGCAATTTGAAATTTCTGAAGAACATATCATTAGAATTGGTCCAAAAGTGAAATGCCTATGGGAGGCAGAAGGACATGAATGGAGCTTGCGCAAAATATGTGTCAGATCCCATCGAGTTTCTCTGGAATCTGACTTTTGTTGGCTTATCTTAAAAATCTCTGCCTCAATTTAAATAATTTCTTAAGAATTTACTGTGAATAAAGTGAAAAAACCAAACAATTATTTCGTAGGGAAGTATACATCATATAAGAGACTTCTGAAAAAATTCTATCTAGGCAAAATAATTTTGACACCCCTAAAAAAGAGGGTTGTAGGTTATAAAGAAGATGAAAAAGAGACAATGAACACAAGTTGCAACAAAAGCAATCCTATTTGGGTATATGGAAGAAAATACTGAGAGTGGTTAAACATTGGAGAAGGTTGCTCAGAGAGGTTGCAGAAGTCTTGGAGACAGTCAAATTTAACAGGACAAAGCCCTGAGCAACCTCATCTAACTTCAAAATTCTCCCTGCTTTGAATGGGAGATTGGGCTAGATGACCCCCAGAGCTGCCTTGCAACCTGTATTATTATATGAATCTATGATTCCCTGAAAATGGTCTTGTGGATATGTTGTTGCATTCTATCTAGTCTTCTGTGATAGTGTAAGTATGTAAACCAAGGACTGGAAAAAGCTGAGGAGGATGGCAGCTTGCAGGGGCATGCTTTGTGAGCCCACTGTTGGAGACTGAGTTGCTGTGTAAGAGCTCATACACGCACTAGCACGGTGGTGCAGGTTGAGGGGAGGAAATCCTCTGTTTTGTTTCATTAGTTTGCTGTTGATAGGCCTACAACGCTTTAACAAAAGAGATATTAATTTCCAGTTTCTGCCCTGAAGCTCAAATATTAGTTTGGATTAGGTACAACAAATGAGTTAAGACTAAGAACTCTTTAACTCTCCTACAGCATTTTTCTTCCCAAATCTCACAGCATGTTGCATAGAAAGATATGCATCATCAAACTTGTATAGATGGAGAATCTGAAACTGATTTGCTCAAGGCTCTGTAACATATCAGTAGAAAAACTACCAGTGGCATTATATAGTCCTTTCCCTTTTGAAATCACTTATTTACTGATGGGGAGCAGGACACGGAGAAAGCAAGGCTGCAGCTCCACAGCTGGAGGTAGGCAGGTTGGCCTGTTCTGCTGTCTGTGGCCTCAAGCACTTGAGTCCAGAAATCATGCACTGGTAAGGTACCAGAGCTAACACGTCTCATTTCTTGGCAGCCTGTTGTGACTCATGCTAGCTTGGCCAAGTGACTGCTAGATCAGCGAGATTTGTCTTGCTTGTTCAAAAGATGGAGAGAAGTCTGTCTTGCCTATCACCTTCCAAAGCCACTGGTCAAGTGGGGAGTGGGACCTAAACATCTTCAGCATCTCAACCACAGAAACACCCACACTTCTGCCCTGAATAACAGATCCCCTAACTAACAGATCATACTGTTACTCAATTAATAATCCTCTTTTTTTACAAAGTACTTTCTGCACATTGACGTCTTGGGAAGGAGAGGGAATAAGGGGCTGCATACCAGATCAACAAAGTATTAGCAATTTCAACAGAATTAGAAAGTCCCCAAAAGTGAGTGTGAATGACTCGCCAAAGGTTAACCACGGACGCTGTATAGAGCAGGTGGGGAAGGGCAGGCAGGTGAGCAGCCTTCAGGATGAGACCATTTGTTCTCCTACCATTATGCCTGGAGAGTAGGAAGGCCATGGGATGTAATGAAAGTGATAAAAACTGAATGCAGTTTATTATTTTGTTCTCCCTTTTGTGATGAAATTTATGTTTAACCTATGTAATACTGAGAGGAAGGACTGTGCCTAAGCAAGGTACAGACATGCTGCTTTAACGTGCTGGGAAGATATAATTACTATTCCCTGTTATAAATGTAGACATGCATTTTTTTTAAAGCAACAAAATTATAATGGATTTGAATTGATTTCAAACACTGACTGCCTCAATACATGCAATAAATCCTGATGGACACCAGGACAATTCTCTGTACTAGATTGTCATCCAAAACACAGAGGAACCGAACCCAATCAGGTTGCTGTGATTATTACAGAGCTGAAAATAGACTGCATCTTCAAAGATGCTTTTTTTAACAAAACATACTTTTAAAATCAAGTACAGCTGCTGACACTGAACCCATGATAAAATTCTTTATTTAAAGAAGCCTTTCATCAAAATCTGACAAGTTCAGATGATTGGCACTTTGCAAGATCATGGGTAGGTAGATCTTCTTTTTTCAGTAGAGAGCAAATGAACGTGTGCAATGGGATAAGAGCAAAGATGTGGGCTGTATTTAAGCTAACAGACCTCCTGACAGCTTGAGGATTTTCCCTGTGTTTTATATTAAGAAACATGAGCACAGTATATGGGCTTTGCTGATAAGAGTAGAAAAATGAATTGGCAGGCACTTCCCAGACAAGACAGGAAAGCAGTGTTTGAACACAGCTGAAATTGGACTGCTTTAATAGCTGATCACAGAATTGATGTTCAAAGCTCTCCGTCTAGCTTCCATCTAATAGTTTTAGTTTCAGCTAAATACAAGGGAATTGAAAAGAATCAGGAAGTAAGGCCATTTCTGGTGACCACAGTAGTTGAAAGAAAACTCTCTATTCTGAAAATAGCTGTTTATTCATTACATGGCCATGTCCTTAAAGGTGAGGAACTACTGAATTAATGAAAACAGTTCAAAGAAATTTTGTTTGGGACACTTTGTTGCTCCTTTTTTGACGGGATCAGTAGCTGTGAGAAAGTATGGATGTGAGGAAGGTCTGGAATGCTCAAAAGGTTTGTTTTCCGTGGGCAAAAAAGACGAATTGCAGTTTTCAAATTAAAGGAGCAATGTCTGTCACTACTAATCAAAATGTTGTGCCTCAGCTGTTCAGATCATTGCCTCACAAAGAGTATGTAACTACAGCCATATCCCCCTCATCAAACACTGAGTTAGTTATGGTCATAAAACTATTAAATCAATAAAAAAAAAATCAAGACAAAGGACTTAGCTTCCGAGCTGGATTTGGTGTTTATAGGTAATACAAAAAAGAGTGGCAGGCCCTTGTAGCATTTCTTGTGCAGACAGCTCCATAGGAGCACACCAATACACTGGTTGGCATTTTGCTTTGTAGGTATGCCTGAGCATCTGTGAGGTTTCAAGGTGAGGTGACTGTGGCCTATGCCTAATTTTCCTTGGGGGCAGTGGTGAAGGAAATATAAAGAAAATGCTTAAATACATTTCCCTGCCAGGAATCTTGCTCATTGATCATGCATTGAATTTGGATGCCAGCTTCTGAAGGACTGTTTAAATGAGAGAACAAAGCCGTCACAAAAAAACAGTATCTGGAAGCTGAAGCCAGAAAAACTCAAACTGGAATTAGGGCACACTTGTTTAAGTCAGGCCAACTCATCACCTGGACAGCCCTCCAAGGAACCATGGGGTTTCCAGCCTGTTTGAGGACATCAGAAAATGGCTGCCTTTCCAGAAGGTATACAGTACAAGTTTGGGTCTTGCTTTGGGGGCAGCAGGGTGCTCTCCAGTGGCCTGTGGAGCACAGGAGGTCAGGGCTGATGGCCGGGTGGCCCCTCTGATCTCAGCAGATCTGCAAGAGCACTTCATGATCAGGGTCTGAGGAGAGCAGAGTGGTGACGACTGCTGGGGAAAGGACCCAGCTGGAGATAACCTGTTCACCCTGACCCATACCCAGCATTTCTCCAGCAGAAGCAGCAACAAAGAGGTGACTCCGGAGAACAATTCACCTGAAACACCCACCTCTGGTGGGGCTAGCTCTGATAACTAGGAAAGGAACCCAAAGGCTGGACTCACAGCTTTAGATGGATAGCGCCAGATGAGGTGAACCACTCCCACTGGCATTCCCTGATGGCCCTAGCCATATATCATTTACCTTTGAAGTCAGGCAACATTTAGCCTTGACAGTCCATAATGGCTGATTTCTGTTTTAACAAAAAGCAAAGAGTAATAGGAAACCCAGTCAACACTTAAAAATAATTAAAAAAGGGGGTATCCAGTTGCTCACAGCCATTTCTTTACTTATTATAATTTACTTTATTTATTAGGAAAAGTAGTAACATTCTTTGTTAAATTCTTGACCAGTAGTTTCAACACCAGTAGAAATCTGAAGCCTCACTCAAAAATCAGCCCTTTTTTTTTTCTGATTAGCTTAAGACGACCACAGATAATCAATAACACAACTATGGCTTACCAAATATCTGGTTAGCTTCATATTCCAGTGACAGAAGATGGAAAGCAACTCTGGATGCTATTTTAGATAGGGAAATTTGTACTTTGCAGAACTTATTTTAAAATCCTGCTATGCAGCATTATCTAATCTCCTTCTGCACATCTAAAAATACCATCAATCTAGCATGCAAACCAAATTATATTTGTCTGAGATTCATGAAAGAGGAAGCATCAAAAGTGCAAAACATTCAACACAGATCCAAGTTCTGATACAGATGAAAAAAATCTTACTCTGCAATTTTTGAAAGTTATCTAATCCAAAGGTCACACACAGTTTAGCTGTGCTCTGAGCATAAGAAACGAA